AGCCTAAAAACGGGTAGTAAGACAATGACCTGCAAATAACGGGGACAGCGTGGTACCCTGGTATAATGATATATGGGTGAATAAAGTTAAGAGCAGTGATGTACGATGCAAACGCCCCGCGTGGCTGCATTTCGCCAGGAGGCAGAACTAGGTGTTACGACGGTTTCTTTCATTTCCTTTTCACCTCGCCATTCTGAATAGGCATACTTTTGGCGTGAATATTTACTGTGAATCTGTCGTAAGTGAAACTGTACCACACGCTTTGTACGAATTCATCTCCATATGATGACTTTCCAATCGGTCACTGAAGAAGTGGCCTTTAGATCGAGCAGAATTGCCCAGCTGACCGTTACATAAGATTAAGCGGCAAAATTAATAATTCATTGGTGAGTATTTTCTACCTGAAATGAATCCAAGTGTGAAATACAGGTAATAAATTGATGTAGCAAAGATGCTGCACACAAATCCGACGCAAACCAGAACGACTCCGATAATACTGACAGCTCTGCAGCCAAGCACATTGATCAAACATCCGGTAAACGGACCTGAAAGAAGTTTGGCGTCTGAAATGTTTCCTCACATCATACAAATTACGTCGTACCTGCCAGATAATAAAACGCAACTAGGATGGAGACGGCCCACGCGGCAACGCTAACGCTGGTGTGAAAATAGTCTACCCATATGGGCTGGAATACTTGGCCGACGTTGAACAGAACGCCGTCGATCAAGAGATTGGACATCAGCGAAGCGACAACGATGACCCAGCCCCACCCACCGTCAGGGGCTTTGATTAGAAAGTCCTCGTTCAGAGATACCTCCGTAAATTTTCGAGGTGGTGGCCTCGAAGCCGAGGTGGACTCTTTTGACGTCATTTCGTTAATAATGTATATCCGGATAGAGCACTGCGGTTGGAAATGAAATAATCTACTTCATGCGTCCATACGGCGTCTAAAAGACATAAACATGACACTTGATTATGAATTTGTACGACAACTGTGTGGCGCGCAAATACCGACACGTTTTCGGTTCCATTTTTATATTGGGACTTCAACTCCAAATTTAGTAAAATAGCAGACAATAAAATATGCCAAACGATATCTGTTCTTCTTTCTGAAATTCATCCACAGGGTTCTCGTAAAGAAGAATGTGAAACAATCAAAATGCCGTCATGACAGGTCGCAGAATGTTGGGGAACTGCATATACTTGCACTACAAAGACAGTGATTGTTGTGAAGGCTCACCAAGAAACCTTAAAAATAGTCGACTTATGTGGTTCTAATGTCCTAAAGAGTAAACCTGATGATAGTTCGGTCTAGACTAAAGATATTCTGACCATAAACTGAGGAGGAAGTGATTCACCCGTATTAATTAATGCTCCATAAACAGAGTGAAACATTTTTTTATCTCTTCCGTCTGAACAGACGATGGTCTTCCATAGGATTCTTGATGGATGGCATCAAGAAATGGAAGAGCGCAGACAGAAGAATTTTTAATGTACTCGAACAGCTTGCATGGCCAAAAATTGAAAACTGAGGCTTGGAAATAGCGCTGACACTTGTTCAACAACATCGCCATCAAACCTTCTCAATTCACTGCTAGGCAGAAGCTTCCCCCAGCATTTTGCCACAAACTTTTGTCTTCTGTGGTTCTTATCAATGGACGTGGATATAAGAAGTTTCTTCAACCATGTCTGCTAACGATATGAAGGCCATTCACGGTTCATTGACTATCTCCCGTCGCTTTGAAGCACATCGGATATCTTTCTGGTCCAACGATGGTTCGTTCTTCTTGAAACATGTCTTGCCGATCATCGTTTCAACTTCTTTTAC